CAACACAACAATGGAACTGAGAAGAAGGTAAAGCCAGAATAGTAAAGGTAAAAGGACCCCTGACTGATAAGTCCAGTTGCGAACAACTCTATAGGCCGAGGAGCCGGCGTTTGTCCGCAGACAGTTTTTTTCCAGGTCATGTGGCCAGCATGACTAAGCCCCTTCTGGCGAACCAGAGCAGCACACGGAAATGCCGTTTACCTTCCCGCCAGAGTGGTACCTATTTATCTACTTGCACTTTGACGTGCTTTCAAACTGCTAGGTGGGCAGGAGCAGGGACTGAGCAACAGGAGGTCACCCCGTCACGGGGATTCGAACCGCCGACCTTCTGATCGGCAAGCCCTAGGCTCTGTGGTTTAGACCACAGCACCACCTGCATCTCTAAGCTACCCATTTATGCAGGGCTTACGTTCCAAGGCACCAGGCACATACGTGGAATAGCGTATCATTGAAGCACCCATTGGAAAATCCTGCAGACACCCTTTAAATCTCTGGAAAACCTTTAAAAAACCACCAGCACTTACCTGATGCCCAACTCTCTCGCACAATCTCCTTCCTCAAACTCCAACACACCACAACGGTCAGTGCAAAGGCTTTTGGGATTGCAATGGCAAAGGCTATGGCAGGGGTAGGCAACCTAAGGCCCAGAGGCCAGATCCGGCCCAATCGCCTTCTCAATCCGGCCCGCAGGGAATCAGTGTGTTTTCACATGAGTAGAATGTGTGCTTTTATTTAAAATGAATCTCTGGGTTATTTGTGGGGCATAGGAATTCGTTCATTTTTTTCCTTCAAAATACAGTCTGGCCCCCCACATGGTCTGAGGGACGGTGCTCCAGCCCACAGCTGAAAAAGGTTGCTGACCCCTGGGCTATGGGATTGCTAGGCACTGTTTTCAGACTTTTCAGTGCTCTTCTGGGGATGTTTTGGCGATTTTTAAAATTCACTTCCAGGCTTGGTGTAATGCACATTTACAGTGGTGCCTCGCAAGACGAAATTAATTCGTTCCGTGAGTTTTTTCGTCTTGCGATTTTTTTTGTCTTGCGAAGCATGGTTTCGGGAAAGTTTTAGAAAAGCTTCAAAAATCACCAAAGTCTTCAAAAACCTCAAAAAAGGCTACCACACCGCGTTCTATGAGTTGCTCCTCGAAGTCAAGTCGCAACTGTATTAACGGTGTTAAGAAAAAGGAAACAAATTTGCAAGACGATTCCATCTTGCGAAGCAAGCCCATAGGGAAAATCGTCTTGCGAAGCAACTCAAAAAACCAAAAACCCTTTCGTCTTGCGAGTTTTCCGTCTTGCGAGGCATTCGTCTTGCGAGGTACCACTGTACAAGTTGTGCGCATATTGAACATGTGTAAATGGGCAGTTGCCTGTATACCTCTCCTCCTATTATTTGTTGGATGGGGTGGGTGGGTGGAGGAATCATTCCAGTTTCTGTAGTTTCTCAAATACTGACCTCGGAATAAAAATAAACACAACTCTCTGGTGAGCCACTTTTCTTGAAGGTCTGCTTTTAGAATAAAGCAAGCGGTCGGGCAGGCGAAGTCTTCCACCCCATCTGTCCATTTCCCCCCTGGGTAACCAGAGGGCAGGGGGCGGCTTGGGGGGGGGAATCGTTAACTTTATTTTGGGGGCAACTTTATTTTGGGGGCAACCATTTATTCTTGCAGGTTCACCCACATACAGTGGTGCCTCAGGTTACATACGCTTCAGGTTACATGCACTTCAGGTTACAGACTCCGCTAACCCATAAATAGTGCTTCAGGTTAAGAACTTTGCTTCAGGATGAGAACAGAAATTGCGCTCTGGCGGCGCGGCGGCAGCAGGAGGCCCCATTAGCTAAAGTGGTGCTTCGGGTTAAGAACAGTTTCAGGTTAAGTACGGACCTCCGGAAGGAATTAAGTACTTAACCCGATGTACCACTGCATATTACTTTGTTTATGACACCTGGGCAGCCTTATAGGTAAAGGTACCCCTGCCCGTACGGGCCAGTCTTGCCAGACTCTAGGGTTGTGCGCCCATCTCACTCTATAGGCCGGGAGCCAGCGCTGTCCGCAGACACTTCCGGGTCACGTGGCCAGCGTGACAAGCTGCATCTGGCGAGCCAGCGCAGCACACGGAACGCTGTTTACCTTCCCGCTAGTAAGCGGTACCTATTTATCTACTTGCACCCGGGGCTGCTTTCGAACTGCTAGGTTGGCAGGCGCTGGGACCGAACAACGGGAGCGCACCCCGCCGCGGGGATTCGAACTGCCGACCTTTCGATCGGCAAGTCCTAGGCGCTGAGGCTTTAACCCACAGCGCCACCCGCGTCCCTAGGGCAGCCTTATACTGGAATGCATATAATTGGTGCAGAATTCGAAAAGGATCAACATTTTGTCTCCGCTGTCCACCAACTTGATCTGTCCCATTCCTTAACCTAATGTGCGCTGATGTTTGTGCTTTGTGTGGTCATTTCCGCAGCCAGATTACCCTGCCCCGGCCGTGTCTCCATTTATGCATCAGCTTGAATGGGCTACACAAATTCTCAAGCACCAATACGCTCGGGCTGTGCTTGCTTCCTGATTTAGCTAGATGGTGAACTGATAAATCAATTAAATCAGCCCTGTTTAGTTGACTAATTCATTGTAAAGAGAACAGAGCTTTGTGAAACGGTTGTTTGGAGCCTCTGGCATTATTGCAAACCATCTGGGCTCGGGCATTTCCCAGTTCAGATTAAGGCACTCGGGTGTGCTCAAGAGAACATCCCGCCACCTTTCAATACACAATAAATAAATAAATTGACTGTGTTACCTAGCCAAGATAAAATGCTACCTCTGATAAATAAAGCCTCCGTTGTAAAACTGTTTTATGAACCACCACTGGCTCATTAGTCCATCAATTAGTTAGAACAAGACAGCTAATGGGCCGAAAACAGCTTTTATCTGCTGAAAATTCCACTCCTGCCACTGCCATCCTTACACCACCTCAGTGGCTTTCCAAGCTGCAGCCTCTTCTGCTCCTTCTGTGCTCTGCTAATTCTTTGGCAGCTGAATCAAGCAGTTTCCACTCAGTTAGTGTCTTATTCTTGACTCTCCACTACAATGGCTAGGGAACGGTGCTGTTGGTTTGTGGGTAGAATCTACTGAAGGAATCTGGCAAGGATCCATGGAGGTGGGGAAGGGTTACATACGATCTGCTATGTCAAGTGCTGCTTGGGAGTGGAATGCCCTTATCTGGAAACTTGGCTGGGCTGTAACCCTTTCCTGCCCACCAAGGACAAGGCATCTAGGTATGCCATGTTGAGAGCACCAACCTGGGGTCACCTCTCTTCTTGGGGCCTCCAGTCTCATTGCCAGACCAAGCCTCTCATTGCATGATCACAGAATAGCAGAGTTGGAAGGGTCCCCCAAGGGTCATCTAGTCCGACCCACGACAGTGCAGGACAATGGTGATATTGCCTTAAGAAGGGTTTGCAGGAACTGCATTGTGGGCTTTTCACTACATCAGGGATGGAGAACGTGGACAGCCCTCCACATGCTGCTGAGTTCCAATCCCCTGTTAGCCCCAGACAGCACAGCCAGTGGTCAGGCCAGATGGGAGTTGTAGTCCGAAAACATCTGGAGGGCCACAGAGCTTCCCCCATATCTGAGCTATACAAAAGAGCAGCCAAGGGAGGAGACAGGGAGGGACAATGTTCTAGAGCCTTTGATATCCATGGAAGTGGTGGATATGTTCCATCAATACCCTTAGATACTTTTATTTATTTATACTTATAAGAATATTTATGAACCACCAGCTCATTAAATAAAATATCAAGATAAATACATTAAAAACATCTAAACATAATAATGCCATACCTTCAAACATTGTCCCCCCCCCCCCGGCCATATCTAGTGCAGAGGGAAAGGCAGCTGCTCAATTGCTTCCCCACCTGTGTACAAATTGAGGAGTCTTCTCCAACCTGGTGCCCTCCAGATGTTGTGGACTACATCTCCCATCAGCCCCAGCCAGAAAGGCAAGTGGTCAGGGATGATGGGAGTTGTAGTCCAGCAACATCTGGAGGGGGTGGCATTGGGTTGGGAAAGCCTGAAGCAGAACAGAGGGTGGATTGTATAGACCTCTGTGGGTCTCCAGTAGCCCACCTGATTGACCCATAACCACCTTTGCTTCTCTGCCAACCCACACCTCCTTCATAGCAGTGCAATTGAAACTTTGCTGGGATCTCTGTGCTTTGCTGGGGAGACTACAGCATATCCTGACCCCCATCATTTAAAATGTGGTCTATCACGAGGAAGAGGCACCCTGACCACCTTTGCCCCCCACTCCCATCCTTAACAAACAAACAAAAAACAGCAACATTATTACTGGCACAACCAGGCCTAGTTGCACTTTTTAGACAGACATCCTTCCTGCTAATCAGACATTCACTCATCACCTCTTCCTTCAGTGCTGAGCTAGGCATCTTGGCTCATTTAAAATTCAGGTCTTCCATCCTTAGGCTGGCCCCTGCAACTTAGTCCAGAGCTTAAGCTTTAAAATGCTTTTACAATGGAGGGGCAGCCTTCTTGCACCTATTTGTAAAAGAGATGTCCACCCTTCTTGACCCTTTTTGTTATACACCTGCCGAGATCCCCCCTTAATTCAGGATAGTGACTTTCAGATCCTACTCAATCAGTCCTTACATGTTCATTGACACCTGTCTCTAGGTCTGCATTATCTGACCTAAAGTCCAGAAATCTGGGCCCGTGCCTTTTGGTTATGATCCTGGTCTCCTAGCCTTCCTGGCCATTGCAACCAAACGAACAACATTCTGCACAGTGCAGTCAGTTCCTCCTTCAGCACCCTGGACAGAGCCACAGAGGCAGCAAGATGCTTGACCAATCCTCAGGATTATTTTTCCAGCTCCCTGTGGCGAGGATTTAGTCTCTGAGCTGGTTTTAAATCAATACATCTTTGGATACATTTAAAATTAAAGATGAAGGAATTTCCTGTTTAAGCTTTAAAAGAGCTCCCAGTAATTTATCTGAACGCTGAGAAAAGGGAAAGGCATGTCAGAGCGTTGTCCTTTATTTCAGCCTAACCCCAGAGGAAATTACATCAAAATTCACATATCACACTTTGTTGAGAAGCACCGACAGGCAGATTACTATACATACTGTGGTGTGTATACACACACACACACATACACCCAACCTCACAAGAGCCAGAGACATTCCACAAGCTTAGTGAAACACTTATGTTCCAGTACTTACCAGGGCACTCTGGAGCCTGTCTAGGCTAGCAAGTCTTTCTAGGCCCTAGAGTTTCCATTCCAATATGGCACCCTGCAAATGTTGTTGGACTACAACTCTCACTCACGCCTGACCCAACGGCCATGCTGACTGGGGCTGATGGGAGTCCCAAAATGTGTGGAGGTCACCACATTGGCTTAAAGTGGGTCTCATCAAACCTTCAGAGAGGCATCTGTTATGTTGATCCCAGTGTAAAGGAGCTGTCAAGCCTGGTTCTGTTGGCCTCATCCTGCCCCGGGAAAATGGGTATCCCTTTACGGCACAAGACTGCAACAACTAATTGTTCCAAAATAGCCTAACTCACTGTGTGTCTTCCTCCCATGCAGCCCACTTAAAATCAGATTCAGCCCCATTTAGCAAAACGACCCGGTCACCCAAACTTCTGGTTATCCCAATTCTGCCCACTGTTCCATCCTAGTTGAGGGGCAAGCGCCCCACTCTTCCCCATCTCGACACTTTCCCCTCCCTCCTTTGAAATTTGGGTTGGCTTGCGTGTGGGGCGAGGAAGGTCCTTTGGGGAGGGGTAAGTGCGTGGGGGCAGAGAGACAGTTGTGTATGGGTGGGGAGGGGTCCACCGAGGCCCCGCTTCCCCCCTTACCTGCCAGCAGCTGCATCCAGGCGCAGATCTTGTAGACCGTGGCCGTGTTGCAGAAGAAGAAGAGCGAGAAGCAGGTGATGCAGCCCAGGATCAGCACCATGGAGAGCAGCACGAAGAAGGAGGCGGCCTTGAAGGCGCGCGAGGGGATGCTGCGGAAGTCGGCGAAGGAGCCGTGGCAGGTGAGCTCGCGGTTGTTGCCCTCGTTGCCCACGCAGTAGTGGAAGAGGCCGAAGTAGCCCGGCTTGGGCGTGCTGACGCTGTCGCCGATCCAGTAGGGCTGGATGAAGACCACCACGTTGATGATGGCGAAGCAGATGGTGAAGATGGCCCACAGCACGCCGATGGCCCGCGAGTTCCGCATGTAGTTGTCATGGTACAGCTTCGAGGCCTCCTGCGACGGCAGCATCCTGCGGCCGGGAGGCTCAGAGCGCGGGGCCCCGGCGGCGGCGACACGCGGGGACGACGAGGAGGAAGAGGAGGAGGAGGAGAGGGGCGCACCGGCGCGCGCGCGCGGACGGCGGCACCAGCAGCAGCAGCACCACCTCACTGGCCGAGGCGGAGTGGCCCCGGGAGCCCCGCCGAGGGGAGACCCGAGGGGGCGCCGGAGGGAAGCCAGGCCATGGGGCGGCAGGAAGGGCTCGCGAGGCTGCGGCAGGCAGGCAGGGAGGGAGCCCTAGGCGCGCCCGCTCGCTCCCTGCAGCGCCAGCCGCGCCAGCCGCGACTCCATCTTGGCTGCGGCGGCGCCGGCTGGGTCGTTGCTCCTACTCGGTCGCCTGCTCGCCTCCCTCCCTCCCTCCCTCCTCGCCTGCCTGCCTGCCTTGCCTGCCTGCCCGCCCGCCCGCCTGCTTGCTTGCTTGCTTACTTGCCCGGCCGGAGCTTGCCCGCGCGCGCGCGCACGAGCCCGGTGGCGCGAGCGCGAGGGGAGGGCAGAGCGGGAGGAAATCAGGTAGAGAGAAGGAAGCGCCCAGGCAGCTTCCTAAAAAGGGGAGGGGGAGAAGGAGGAGGAGGAGGAGGAAAAGGGATCGCAGCGCACATGCGCCCAGGCAAGCAGGTCAAGGGAGGAGCTGAGCGGACGGCTACGCATGCGCCGGGGGGATTGGAACCCGGAGCCGGGCTGCGGGCACGTGGGCTGTGGAGCAGGAGACCGGTGTCTGGGCGCGCACTAGCCAACTCAGCGTAATGTCATAGCCATTCTGAGGGAGGCGGCATATAAGGCAGCCTCCTGTGGGCCAGCGGCTTGGAAGACTCCATTCTGTTTTGCGGTGCTGAGGTTTCCTCAATCTCTCTCTTTCTCACCTCCCAGAAAAGAGCAGAAGAGCCCATCCCTACAGTGGGGCTCAGCTCTAGTGTTATGATATATAATTTAAGGTGCTTTTAAGCCGCCCTTGTCTATATTGCAGTACAGTGGTACCTCGGGTTACATATGCTTCAGGTTACATACGCTTCAGGTTACAGACTCCGCTAACCCAGAAATAGTACCTTGGGTTAAGAACTTTGCTTCAGGATGAGAACAGAAATCGCGCAGCAGCGGGAGGCCCCATTAGCTAAAGTGGTGCTTCAGGTTAAGAACAGTTTCAGGTTCAGAACAGACCTCGGGAACGAATTAAGTACGTAAACAGAGGTACCACTGTACAAGATGCAGAGGTATTGGGGTCAAGTCTACAACAGTAAACCTAAGTGGGGGGAAATCAGCTGACCTTCAGTCTAGGCCAGGGCAGGTCTAAATTTCATACCAAGTGGGCCACAAACGTACTTCGACACATAACCCACAGGCTGCACACTACCTTGTCACACTGGTGGGTGGGGAGTGAGGCCAAAATCTGGTGCCCCCGCAGCCCTCATGTTGCTCTCCCAAAGCCTGCTAAGCGAGGCAGGGCTTTGGGAAGGAGGCTCTGGCGGGGTCATAAGAGTCATCCCATCTCCTTCCCAAAGCTGGGAAAGCAACAACTAGGCTTTGGGAAGGAGAAAGGAGGACTCTAGGACTCTGCCAGACCCCTCACTCTTGCTCCCCAAAGCCTAGCACCTTGCTTACATGGCTTTGATGGCTGAACTATGTGTTTGTGTGTGTGTGTGTGTGTGTGTGTGTGTGTGTGTAATGTTGCTGAGGGCCACCAAAAATGCCTCAAGGGCTGCATGCAGCCCACGGACCACATGTCAGACCACCCTAGTCTAGGCCTTTATGTTGTTGATATAGCCCCTAAAGCATATTAAAAGGAACCCCTGACCGTTAGGTCCTGTCACGGACGACTCTCGGGTTGCAGCACTCATCTCGCTTTACTGGCCGAAGGAGCCGGTGTTTGTCCGCAGACAGTTTTTCCGGGTCATGTGGCCAGCATGACTAAGCCGCTTCTGGCAAACCAGAGCAGCGCATGGAAACGCCATTTACTTTCCCGCTGGAGCAGTACCTATTTATCTACTTGCACTTCGTGCTTTTGAACTGCTAGGTAGGCAGGAGCAAGGACCGAGCAACGGGAGCTCACCCCGTAACGGGGATTCGAACCATCGACCCTCTGATCAGCAAGCCCTAGGCTCTGTGGTTTAGACCACAGCGCCACCTGCGCTGTGAATCATTAGAATCATATAATTGTAGAGTTGGAAGGGACCACAAGGGTCATCTTGGTCCAACACCCCCCCCCCCCGACAACCTGGAAATTTAAGAGTCTCTTGCTCTACCGACTGAGCTATCTCATTACTCTAAAGCAGGGACGTTCAACTCCCAAGAGACAGTGATCTACTCAGAATGAAAAACTGACAGTGAGCAGTTTTTTTTGGGGGGGGGTTCAGGTCAAAGTTGTCGACCCTTTTTTAGGGGGGGGCACGGGCAATTGTTTGGCTACTGTGGGAACAGGATGATGGACTTAGATGAGTCTTTGGTCTGATCCAGCATACTCTATGTTCTTACGAAAGTTTGTAGCACAAGTGTGTAACGGCCTTGGTCCAGTATACCTGAAGCAGCATCTCCACCCCCATCTTTCTACCCAGACACTGAGGTCCAGCACTGAGGGCCTTCTGGCGGTTCCCTCACTGCGAGAAGCCAAGTTACAGGGAACCAGGCAGTGGGCCTTCTCGGTAGTGGCGCCCGCCCTGTGGAACGCCCTCCCACCAGATGTCAAAGAGAAAAATAACTACCAAACTTTTAGAAGACATCTAAAGGCAGCCCTGTTTAGGGAAGCTTTTAATGTTTAATAGGTTATTGTATTTTAGTGTTTTGTTGGAAGCCGCCCAGAGTGGCTGGGGGGACCCAGCCAGATGGGCGGGGTGTAAATAAATAAATTATTATTATTATTATTATTATTATTATTATTATTATTATTATTATTATTATTATATCCCTGGCATCTCTAGGCAGGGCTGGGAGAGAATCCTGTCTGAAACCCTCGATAGCCACTGCCAGTCAGTGTAGACAACAATTGAGCTCTGTATACGGCAGCTTCCTATGTTTGGTAGATCTTGCTAAGAATGGAAACCAAGGAGTTATTTCAGGAATCCTCCTCCTTTTGATTCTCTTTTTTTCCTCTTAACTCTAACCGCCTCCTCTCTCAAAGGAAGCCTGAAAGAACTTGGAGTTTGTTTAATTTTTCTGAAGAATTTTCGACTACAAACACCTCCAATATGGAAGTCGGTCCCAGCGTCAGGGCCCCGTCTGAGCATGTACAGAGTTTCCTTCTCTCACACATAGACTACACATAGACTAAGAGTCAGTGTGGTGTAGTGGTGAAGAGCGGTGGACTCGTAATCTGATGAACCAGGTTCGCGTCTCCAATCCTCCACCTGCAGCTGCTGGGTGACCTTGGGCCAGTCACACTTCTTTGAAGTCTCTCAGCCCCACTCACCTCACAGAGTGTTTGTTGTGGGGGAGGAAGGGAAAGGAGAATGTTAGCCGCTTGGAGACTCCTTCGGGTAGTGATAAAACGGGATATCAAATCCAAACTCTTCTACATACTGAGTAGTCCCCATGTCCCACCACCACCAATATTTTTTTTAAGCATTTCACCACGCTTGTTGTGCGTTGCCCTGACCATGAGCCCGTGGTGTTGTTGTTGTGGTGTTGTTGTTTTCAAGTCACAGCCATTTCCATGTGTTGAACTGGCAATACCGATTGGAAGAATGGACTTCATCACCAAGTTCAAGCCAATCTCAATGGACTGAACTCAGTTCTCGTTTCTGGGGCTTCAGGGCAGGATTCCAATATCAGAGGGCTCTTTTCCGGGCTAGGGAGCAGATGCTGGCAATAAACAATGGGGTGGTTTTCTCCATCATATATTTTGTCTAGCCAGGGTCAGGAATTAGGTGAGGGATTTGAGGTTGGAATGCTGCAGACAGACATCTGGAAGTAAATCACATAGGAAGCTAGCTGCCTTGTACAGTGGTACCTCGGGTTAAGAACTTAATTTGTTCTGGAGGTCCGTTCTTAACCTGAAGTTTCAACCTGAAGTCTTAACCTGAAGTTAACCGTTCTTAACCTGTTCTGGAGGTCCATTCTTAACCTTAACCTGAGGTACCACTTTAGCTAATGGGGCCTCCCGCTGCCACCACACGATTTCTGTTCTCATCCTGAAGCAAAGTTCTTAACCCGAGGTACTATTTCTAGGTTAGCGGAGTCTGTAACCTGAAGCGTCTGTAACCCAAGGTACCACTGTATTAGGCAAGACCATTGGTCCATTTAGCCCATTATAGTCTACTCCATGGGTAGGCAAACTAAGGCACAGGAGCCAGATCCGGCCCAATCACCTTCCGGTCTGCGGACGGTCCGGGAATCAGCATGTTTCTACATGAGTAGAATGTGTCCTTTTATTTAAAACGCATTTCTGGGTTATTTGTGGGGCATAGGAATTCGTTCATATTTCCCCCCAAAAATATAGTCCAGCCCCCCACAAGGTCTGAGGGACAGTGGACCTGCCCCCTGCTGAAAAAGTTTGCTGACCCCTGGTCTATTCTATTGGCCCCAACTATTGGGTTGGGGCTTGATTTAAGTCTGTTTCTCTCTATTGGAATAATTTTTAGGTGCTTTAATTCACAGAATCAAAGAATTGCAGAGTTGGAAGGGAGCCCTGTGGTCATCTAGTCCAGTGTTTCCCAAACTTGGGTCTTGCTTTTGGACTACAATTCCCATCATCCTTGACTGCTGGTCCTGCTAGCTAGGGATGATGGGAGTTGTAGTCCAAAAACAACTGGAGATGCAAGTTTGGGAAACGCTGATTTAGTCCATTGCCCTGCAATGCAATAATCTTGACCGTGTTGGATGGCCACCCGACCTCTTCTTAAAAACCTCCAGTTGTATTGTTTGTGTGTTTGCTGCCCTGGGCTCTATTTGGGGATGGAGGGCGGGGTATAAATAAAATAAATAGATAGCAACACCCAAATCCCTTTTTTTAAGAAAAGAAAAATAACGGAGTCCCCAAATGCATGGTTGGGTTAAAGGTGGGTCCCATGTCTGACAAAACTGAAGGAGGTCTCCTGTGATGAGCAGCAGTTTTCTGGAGTCATTTCGCATTCATGCCAGTGGCTCTTTTTAATTGAGAGACACTGGGGATTGAACTTCTGTATGCCAAGGAAGCATTCCTCCAGTGAGCTGCCGCCCCTGCTCTAAGCTTCAGTGCACATAACTTTGATGATTTCTGCAAAGTGAACATGCACAGGTTGCATTGTCAGCAGACCCTGGGCCAGACTCCACAAAAGCGGTTCATGTTCTTGAGCCCTAAAATATATCCTTTGGGGGGGGGCGAGGAGGAGTGGAGGAGCGAGACCAATTTTAAATTGGCCATTTCCATCTTCTTTTTTGTTTGTTAAAGATTTTATTGATTTTCCATTTTCAAAACAAATATCCAATATCAATACTAAACATTAGTTTTTCATTCCACACACACACACACACACCCGGTCGACTTCCCTCAGCTTCCATTTCTGGTTTATTACATCAAATGATACGTTCTGCTGTTTAGCCATTTCCATCTTCTATTCTGAATGAAAAAGGTAAAATGGGTCAGGATTATTATTTATTAAATTT